CAAAAGTTCATAGCTAAAGGAAACTTATACGGTCTAAGTGATGATGTGTATTGTGAAATTTTCCGAACAACCCTATCGGGAAATGCTTTGAAGTGGTTCAATCAACTTCCTGCAGGTACTGTTGAAAGTATGGAGCAATTGACTCATAAGTTTCTTGACCAATTTTCCATAAACAGAAAATACCCGAGAACGCCAGCTTATTTATTCACTATTATTCAACAAGAGCATGAATCGTTAAGAGAATACGTGCAACGTTTCTCTCAAGATGTACAGGAAATCCCAACTATTGATCATGTTGTTTTTGTTGGAATAATCAACAAAATTTACTGCACTGGCGGTTCAGAGAATCTATTGCAGGAAGACCGCCATGCAATCTTGTCGAGTTACTAGATAGGGCGGATAAATATATTCGCATTGAAGAGAAGACGAGCTTGACTCGGAAGAAGTGTAAACGTGAAGAAGGGCGACGCGAGATGCCCAAGAAAGAGGATCTTCGTGTTACTCATTATAGAACTCAACAATTCATACCTCTTAACGTGCGACTCAGTGAGGTGCTTGTTATAGTGCACCAAAAAGGTTTGGTCCAACCTCCAAGGCCCGTGAAGGAGAGTACGAAAGGGAGAAATCGAGTAAATTTTGTCGTTTTCATCGCGACATAGGGCACAATACGGAGGACTGTTTCAATTTGAAACAAGATATTGAAAGATTAATACAACTAAGTAGCACGATCGTCAACAGGAAGAAAGAGGATGAGATATCGCCGAAATCGCTAGCAACTAATTGGTCGCCATGATGGAGAGCGTCAACAAGGACATCGTGAGGATAATTTACCCAGAGTTGGAACCATAAACGTGATTTCAGGAGGTCCTTCTTGTGGCGATTCAAGAAATGTCAGACGAGCTTTAATGTGAAAGGCTAAGAATACTCATCTTATACAAAATAGTGCATCTCCCCCAAGTTGGGCGAAATCAGTCTTTCCAGTGCAAAGTCTTTCAAGTGCAATCAGGTGGCCAAGGTTTGACGTTTGGCGATTTTGATTTAGAAGGAAGCCAACGAGAGGAACATAATGATTCACTTGTCATTTCAGCATCCTTATCCAACTTTTGGTTGCGCAAAATATTGGCCGATGGTGGTAGCTCTGCTGATATTGTCTTCCATGATGTTTTCCAGGAGTTGGGAATCGCTGACGCCCAACTTGCAGCGGTCAAAACCCTTGATCGGATTCACATGTGAAGTTGTGGAAGCGCTCGAACAAATTACACTATCTCTTTCCCTTGGGAGATTTCCCAGAAGAGTAACTCGAATGGTGAAATTTTTGTTAGTCAAGTCATCGTCAACCTACAACGTGATTTTATGGAGACCAAGCATTCATCAATTTCAAGCAGTGACTTCAACGTATCATATGAAATTGAAATTCCCGACTCCCCAAGGAATCGGTGAGGAAGTTGGAGAGCACCGCATCGCGAGAGAATGCTATGCTAATACTATTCAAAGAACGATGGGACCTTTGAAACAACAAGGTGGACGAGGCCACATATCTTTGAAATCTCGAGGCAAAGAGAAGTTAGCATGTTCATCAACATATGAAGAAATGCATTTTATTGAAAATCAACCTGACGAAGACATGCGTCTGGCGGCAGCTGAAACATTATAAGCAATTGAAGTGGTACCGGGGGATCCATTTAAAGTGACCAGAATTGGAGCTGACTTAGCGCCTGAGGTGGAAGAGGCAATTATTGTTTTCTTACGAAGCAATTCTGATGTTTTTGCCTGGAGTGGAGAAGATCTACCGGGAATACCTGAAGAATTCACTATGCATCATTTGGATGTAAATCCTAATGCAAGACCAATCAAACAAAAGAAAAGAGCCTTTAGGCCAGTTAGGAGTCAGTATATCAAGGGTGGCTCGCTAATCTTGTCCAATCTTGTCCTAGTAGAGAAAAAAGGAGGCAAGTGGAGGTTATGCGTGGATTTCGCACATTTGAATAAAGCTTGTCCAAAAGATCCATATCCTCTATCAAGAATTGATTTATTGGTAGATTCAACATCAGGTTGCGAGTTGCTGAGTTTCATTGATGCTTATTAAGGATATAACCAAATATGGTTAGCCTCGGAAGGCCAGGAAAAAACAAGCTTTGTAACCGACCAAGGAATCTTTTGCTATGAGGTAATGCCCTTCGGACTGAATAGCGCTGGAGTCACCAACCAACGCCTTGTCAACTCAATGTTTTATGGCATGCTGGGACGCAACATGGAAGCCTATATAGATGACATGTTAGTTAAGAGCGTTATCTCCTCAAAGCATACTAATGATCAAGATGAGTGTTTTACTATTTTGAGAATGTATTGAATGAAGCTCAACCCTGAGAACTGTATATTCGGAGTCAGAGGAAGAAAGTTTTTGGGTTATTTAATCTCGCAACGAGGAATAGAGGCTAATCTAGAAAAAATAGAAGCTATCATAAAAATGTCGCCTCCTCGGACTTTAAAACAAGTGCATGAACTAACAGGCCGGATGGCTGCTCTCGATCGGTTTTTATCTCGATCAAGCGAAAAGGGACTACCGTTTTTCTAAATTCTCCATCAAGGGAAGCGTTTCAGTTTCTCCGATGAATGCCAGCAAACATTTGAAGATTTAAAGAAATATTTGAGTTCGCCACCCTTATTGAGTAAGCAAGAAACGGGAGATATATTGTCCTTTTATCTAGCGGTGGCGTCAGAAGCAGTAAGTGTTGTTCATGTAAATCAAGTGAATCGTGAACACCATCCAGTATACTACATTAGCCGAGTACTGCAAGGAGCTGAGCAACGCTATAGCAATATGGAGAAGCTGGTTTTTCTATAGTAACGACTGCTCGGAAATCGCGCCCGTACTTCCAATCTCATCATGTGGTAGTTTTATCCAACCACCGTTTAAAGCATATATTGTCAAGTCCCAAAGCGTCGGGAAGAATGGACAAGTGGACTGCCGAATTAAGCCAATATGGATTGGACTATAATCCTCACCTGGCTATAAAAGGCTCAAGTGTTGGCAGATTTCCTCGTTGAGATGGCAGGATTTGAAGAAAGCAATTCGGCTCCAACCTGGCTAGCTTATGTGGATACGAAGCTCGATCTCCACGCTTCAAATAACGAGGCGAAATACGAAGATTTTATAACAAGGATCCGTTTATCCCTAGCTGCTAGAGCCCGAAAGCTTGTTATACATAGTGATTCGCAACTTCTAGTGAATCAAGTCTCGGTAGATTATGATGCAAAAGAAGAATGGTGAAATACCTTGTCATAGCCAAAAAGTTATTATCGCGGCTTGAGGATTTTGAAGTCAAGAAAATTCCGCGAACCGCCAAAAATGGAGCAGACGGTTTATCTAAACTGGCCAGCTCAATGTCTAATATTAATAGCTGGTGGATTACATTTTTAGTTTTTCTAGGTCGAAAATTGACACTTTAGATGTAGTGATGTGCAATGAGGCTGCTGAGCTGACATGGAAAGATGAGTTGGTGCAAAACCTAACATTAGGAGAACTCCCATCCGACCAATCTCAAGCACGTAAAATATGTACCCGAGCCGCTCATTTCACCATGGTGGATGATGAGTTATAGAAAAGAGGTTTCACTCCACCATTTCTGAAGTATTTGACGCCACAAGCAGCGGTCTACGTACTTCGAGAAATTCATGATGGTATTTGCGGTAATCATCTCGGGAGGAAAACATTGGCGGGAAAGGCACTTTATCAGTTACACGCCAATATAGCCCATCAACCGGCCGCATTACTTCAACCAATGGAGTGTCCCATACCTTTTGCCCAATGGGGTATCGATTTGATAGGCCCATTTCCACTGGCTACAAGACAAATGAAGTTTCTCATCGTGGCCGTCGACTATTTTACTAGGTGGGTAGAGGCTGAACCAGTCGCCAAAATTTCTGAAAAAGAAGCTATCAGTTTTTTATGGAAAAATATTGGTTTGCAGATTCATTAATATGAGATAATGGAACGCAATTCGCCGGTTCAAAGTTGAAAGATTGGTGTGAAGGCTTGCACATCAAGCATTTTTTTTACCTTAGTATACACTGGTGAATTACTTGTAAATCCTATAGTCTAATTGTCTACAATATTATAACAAAATGGATATTATACAAAAGGATTTTAATAATGATGAGTGAATAGTTGTGAAAAATTCCCCAATTATCAAATGCCAAATACCTCGATTTTCTATTACTTTACTACTTCCGAAATTCCGATTTCCGAAAATTCCGAAAAAAATCGGATCGGAATCGGAAATACATTACAGAATTTCGGAATTTCCGATTTCCGATCCGAAATTATTCCGATTATTTCCGATTATTTCCGATTATTTCCGATTTTTTCCGATTTTTTCAATTATAATATTAATATTTATTACTATATATAATATATAAAATATATGTATATATCTATCCGCCTGTACTAATTAACTAGTAATACACCCGTGCGATGCACGGTGAATATAGTGATAAATGTTTTGTCATAATGTAATATAATTGAATACATAGTGAAAAAATAATTCTAACAAATGTATTAAAAAGTATGGTTTTTTTATTATGAATAAAATAAAAGGAAAATATATGGAGTGAATATTAGTAGTGATAGTTAAAACAAATATAATGAGCATTTTCAATATTTTCAATGATATTAGAAAGTGATATGAAATAAAACAAACAGTTATATCTTGAACTTGAAATACATAATATGTCCTAACCAAATGATACAACACTTTCTTCAAAGTACCTACATCATCAATGAAAATAACATTACAATGATAATAAATACTCGGTCCAAATCAATCATTAGTACTAAAGTAACATCCAAAAAAAAATATTTATTATTAAATTACCTTGGGAGAAAGTTATTGGAGAGTTAATTTGCCAATAGACCTGTATGTGCATGAAATGTATCAATAAAAATAATAAAAAAAAAATACTATATTGTTTTGGAAATGTGAAGTTAGTAAATATGTACCTCATATTCGTTGAAACACTTCCTTGTACACAACATTATTAGTGACATTGCACAGTTCACCTGATTCAGAGTTGATGAGTATCTTTATGCCAGACCTACTTTTTACTCTAGACAATGCCACATATAATTGTCCGTGGCTGAAAACAGGTCGTGGAAGGTATAGACCGACATGTGAAAGTGTTTGTCCTTGACTTTTGTTAATTGTCATGCCAAATGAAACAATCACCGGAAATTGTCGTCGTTGAAATTTGATTGGCAATGTGCAATTCGAAGGTATCAAAGTCATTCTAGGAATAAATACCATATCACCAACATGCTTACCAGAAAGAATCTTACAGTTAATAACGTGGGTTCCCATTTGAGTAACTTGAAGCCTAGTTCCATTGCACAATCCCCTAGCTTGATCGATATTTCTTATGAGCATAACCGGAACCCCAACTTTTAATCTCAACTTATGCGAAGGAAGTCCGGAGCATTTTATGGTGTTGAGGAATTCTGGTGAATAAATTTCCGCGTTAACTTCAGAAGTTGCCTCATCTTTGCAAATACTATCTGAGCTCAAATATTCCTTCTCTTCTCCAGGGATGAGTGACGACAAATAATCATTAATAAAATCTACACTTTCATTAGTAGGTCCGAGAATTGCTCTACCTTGGAAGTAATCTGGAGTGAAAATATTACTTAACAAATCTGGATAAACAAACTGCAACAACTCTGAAAAGGGGTCCTCTGAATCAAGAATTAACATATCATGTGGAATTTCAATTGAAGCTTCACCATCGTTTTCCTCTCCAATCTCACCATTACCAATTTTTAGTATCCAATCTGCAAATTCTTTTATTTCCTCTACAGTACAGGTAGAAGCACACGATTGAAGCCTCATATTTTTCTGTAACGTTAGGACTTTACAATTTTTCCACAATGGTGATGAATTAATCGTAGCATGAACAATATCTTGTCTGGATGCCTTTAAAATAACTGGCAAAATCTGCCTAAAATCACCTCCTAGAACAACCACCTTTCCACCAAAAGGTTCGTCCGACTGTAAAATAGATCTCATGGTGCTGTCTAGTGCTTCGAAACAATATCTATGCATCATTGGCGCTTCATCCCATATAATAAGATTTGCTTTCATCAATAACTCTGCCTGTGGACTTTGTTGACTGATGCTGCAAGTGGAACCTTCATGCACAATTATTGGAAGTCCAAATCTAGAATGAGCTGTTCTACCACCCGGAAGTAGTAGCGATGCAATACCACTTGATGCAACATTAATAACAATTTCTCCTCTAGAACGAACTGCAGCAGATAATGTTTTCCATATAAATGTCTTTCCTGTCCCACCATGACCATACAAAAAGTACATTCCACCACTCTTGTTTGTTACAGCAGACATGATTGTGTCATAAACTTTTTTCTGCTCTATGGTGATAGTAGAAAGATATTTTGAAAGTTCGTCACGCATAGCAAACACATCATACTCTAGTTCATCGAGCACTAACCTGTTCTCTCTTTCATCTACCAATGATTCAATTGGAAGCGGCATAGAGTCATAATTACGTAAACTCTTACCGTTGCTTTGCATGATTTTCTCAATATCAAGTAAAGCATAATTTTTTAAACTGTCATCTGATAAAGTGAAATCTGCATTTATGAAGTGAAGATAATATTTTATCAAGGTTCTTTGATATTAAAAAAATAAAAGTTAAATTAAAATACTGATCAAATGAAAATATTATGCATAACACATTTAAAAAATGAAATACCTGGATTATTATGAAGTTGTTGGTGTTTGTATGCAATATCATCTGACAAATCTGACCAACAGCTTTCCCAAACATGTTCTGGTCTTGTAAAACTATTTGAAATCAACAGGACAACAAATAACCTTCGGATGTAACCTCCGTTTGCCCATGTACTTGCTTCTTTGATAGCATCTATGTACTCTTTATCGTCATCTAACAATCCCAATACATAGCATGCATCCCTAAACGTTGGGTAGATATTGTTATTGACAGTTCTGATGTCTTCAAAACTTGTGCAACCTTTCTGAATATTAAGTAGCAATCTCAGGTAATAGTCTTCTCCCTTTCCTGGGGGAACACTTCTAATTCTTCCAATTGCAAATCCTTTTTTTCTAGGCTCCCACCTTAAAGAGTCTTCATGGTACACAAATTGTTGTGGAAAATTTGCATACTTAATATCTCTAGCTTCTGGATACATCTTATTTGCTTGAAACCAAGCTAAGAACATTGTTTGTTTAGCAGACGGTCTGTTCAGCACATTATGTAAAGCTTGATTATCATTGAACACAACTGTTTGGCAGTCAGGTAGATGAAAACTCAATCTCATTACGGGTGGATCT